TCTGCTAGAGGAAATTCAAATAGCGTTACCACTGAGAATTGATAGCAAGCGTTAAGAAGCTTATAGCAGATCAGCACAGTTTGTCTCATCTCTTTTCTTTCTGTGTATGTGTGCCACACAAATACACCCATACACTGCTGGATCACAACCAACGTACTGAACACAGCTTTGTCCACTTAACACTGGCACTTGGTGCGTGCAAGGACTCACTGTATTCTGGATGAATCTTTCTTAATTCTACCAATTCGCCTTTGCTAAATGAATCTAAGTTGGAAAGTGTTGTTTGATTACAGCAGATCTGCTATCCCTAATTTTAACTCGGCAGTGATCTCCTCTCCTGTCGCAGCAGTAGGATCACAGCACAATTACACGTTTCACTGGGCAGCCTCAAGGCAATGCAGACCCAAAGCACAAGCACCCAATGCAGCTCAAGACACATAGTAACAACCTGAGGTTCCTTAAAATATCAGCTGCAAATCAGCAGCAAAGAGAGACTATCAATTGCTTAGTGAGGAGAAAAATGACTTTTCTATCTGTAGTTTACAAAAATAAAAATATACTATTTGGAATTAGGCTGATATGAAATTGGTTGCATGTGAAATTGAAAACACCTCACTGCACTCCACATAAGAACTGCAATTCACTTTGTTCCTGATTCAATTATAAAAAAATCATTTAGATTTTTACTATTTTTAAAGCTTGTAAATAAATAATATTTCAAAATGAAGTCTTTTTAAATAAAAACAAATCCAAATGCATTTTACTTGAAAATGGTTAAAAAGTACATCTATTACACTGTCTTCTGAGTGCAAAATCACTGCATAAAACTTAAATGATATTTAAAAGTATTGATGTCAGTGACTATTCTGCATCAGTTTCTGCTGACATTTTGGCCCATGTTTATCTAGTGCAATAGAAGACGATCCTCAAATACTTCAGCATGTAGCAGGGAATGGGTGAACTCTTAATTTCTTACACACTGGTGGTACCATACCACATCAATTCCCACTGCAGACAAGGACTGAAACATACAGAAACACAACCCTGAACTTACCAAGTTCATACTCCAAAGAGCAGAGCTTCAGAAAAATACTGTATGACCCTATGTCAATAACTAGACTCTTCTGGAAGGATGCTTAGCATACTCAGGAGTCCAGTGATAAGAAATTGAGGCGTGGTGTGTTGTGCTGGTATCAGTGCCCTTATTTGAGAATCAGGCTGTCTAGAGGGCAGGAAGAGAGGAGAGGACTTACCTTGTCAAACTTCAGCTGACAGGTTTATCCTATGTAAAGCAGCAGGAGAAAAACCATTCCCCTGAGCTGCTGTAATCAAAGTGATTGTGTTGCACATCAAAAACATTTGTTTTACTTGCCACGTGGATTAAAGGATTACATTGTATAGGAATGCTTTGGACAACATTTTGTGCTTCTGCTAGTATTCAGCTGCCCTTAATCTGACACAGTGCATTGATAAGATCATTTTTCCATTATGGCTTATTTGTTTGTTTCTGATGCATACAGAATTAAAGCAACAAAAATGAGATCCCCAGATCCTTTTCCTCAAGCGAGGTCAATTCCTCAGCCAGATGTTTAACATGCCTAGTCGGAAGGGTTTCCTATTGAATAGATGTGTTACAGGACACTTAAAGAAGATTCTTTCTCAAACAGAGGCACACAGTTCACAGAGCTGTCTCCAAAAATAAATACAAATCTATGACTGACCCTTGTTTTAGCAGCCAGTCACAGAAGATGAAGCAGTTTTCACCTCAAATCTATTGTTTCAGGCACTCTGCAAACGCAGGCAGACATCACTGCATCAGGTTATATCCATCACACTGCGACAGTCCTCTAAGGAAACACAGATAAAAATTCCCTTTGCTTTTCCCTCTTCTTTTAACAGAAGCATTTCTCCTTTTCTCACTAAGTTCTCAGTTCTCTACAGCTTTTGCTTCAGGAAATGACTTTGTATTAGCAAACATGGTAAGCTAATTTAGTATTACTGCCTAACAGTCACAAATGAGGAAAGTAAATGAATAATTGTCCCTATCACTCTTTAATTAATCATTTTACAGGGCATGCATTGGTGCGTTACTGTTGTTGTTTAGGATTATTATGCCTTTAAGGTTTATACTGTATCTCAAGCTTCCACTCTTTTGTTATTAAATGCAAAAAAGTAAGTGGCATAATAATTACGTTCTTTCTGTTCATACTTATCCTCCCACTGGCGTGCTGCTTCTTGACTGAAGTGATATTTGATTCATGAGCAGCTGCCTATTAAAGATGGTGAGGACAAATAAAGTAATTCCTAAAAACAATCACAAAATAATATTTCAGCTACAGCACTGATGTCAGGTCCATTTGTGCATCTTCGTCACTGATTCACGTTCTGTAATCTACAGTTTCAACTGACAGCACTTCTTCCTGATACTTGTGAATAATACAAGAGCATGCACACAGATGAATCGCACTTCCTACCACTGACTCAGTCAGAACAGGAAGGTAACTGTTAACCAAATACACACTATATTATAGCATAGGTGCGTTTGAGAAACATGTATTTCTTGTATATATATATAACATACAAGGAATCTGAACCTAAGATAATTAATTTGTATGTTTGCACTGTTATCCATTCTAGGACACGTGTAATGCTTCAGAACTGCTAAAAATAACACGTATAAACTAAATGGGAAAAGTTCTGCTGAAGGTAACAAGGGCAGCATTTGTGTCCTGTTGGCCAGCTCCTGGGTGAGGAAGCTAAGCAGAACTGAATAGCAATACATCACCTCCACAGCAAGGACACCCAACGATGCGAGTCTGCAGGTCTCACGTTGTACCAAGCACAGTGCAACATCTTCCCTTTACAGAAAAGGCAAAAGCAGAAGAGAGTGAAGTAACCTGACCAACACACCCAAGTGAGCCAGTGTCAGAATGTGAGCAGAAGTCTGATCTCAACATCTTCCATTCTGTGCCCAAAACAACGGACACCAGGGTTTCCTCACATTCCTACACGTAAGTCTCTTAAACTAAGTTACAATTCATTCAGCTGCATTACACTCAGAATGGTCTGCATTCAATTCTGCAGTTCTTTATTTAATCTATACTTAATCCTCCATCACTAAAAGGGAGAATTTCAAGGTTGAGATCTGACAAAATTATTTTATTCTTTAGCAAATTCATGACCTTGATGAAAAGGCAGTGTTTCTCTCTGTTTTAAATGCCAAGTTGACTGTAATAATCTTCATTGCAGAGGCAATCTATCAGTGTTTAATCTTATGGGAAACTGGAACAAAGGGTTATGCCATTAAGCTGTATGTAAGGTGCTGTCAACAAAAACACTGAAATCTACATTTCCCTTTTTTTCCCGAAGAGAACAGGGCTGAAAATTGGTGCAAACCTTCTGTATCATCACTTATCACATGGCAATAAATACCAGGAGATACACATATAGCACTTAACCAAGTATTCATGTCTTACTCAGCAACAGCCTAAAACTTTACGAAGAGATATCTAGAATAAAACTTTCCATTAAAAACTGGGTTTTCAGGCATTAGTTTGAGTTCCATCAACCCCACTGAAGTGCAACTACTGTATCAATCTACAAACGTATTTTCATAAAGAAGGCAAATCATCCAGTGGAAAAAACACAGTTATCACAGCTGAGATCTCATTCTGAGCAGAATGTGTACACGGAGCTGAGCACCATTGTACACAAACATTAATAAAGTAAAGCAAAGAAGAATTTAAGGACATCGCTCAGGTCACAAAAGAGATGAATCACATAGAACACAACTTTAAAAAATAGGTCAGAATGAAAGTTAAACTGGACCTTTTAGATAGCTTTCCGTGGGTGAGTAATAGCCTACGTGTGAGCTAAGTACAGAAATTTGTTTCTGCACCAAACCTGCCTTCAGCCTCACATTTGTCACAAAAAGAACAAAACAATGACATTGGAGTTTTCAACAGTCACCTTGTTCACCATCTCCTATGTTAGTAGAGAGCCAAAGCAGTACCAAACAAGTCATCGTGTCAACCCAAACTAGTGTTCCTTCTCTTGCACAGCTGTGAAAGGTTCAGGAGGACCGAACTTTTATCCAAAATCACCATAATAAAAGTAAACAGCAGATGGTCAGAATAAGGGTTCCCATTATTTCATGATCTTAGGCACATTTCCAGACTACAATCAATCACAATTATATTATGACCAAATCACTCTGATCTTCTGCAGAAAGAGCAGAACAGTGAAAGCTGTGGAAGACTATACCAGCCTGCATGGTAACTCTTCTGCTATGCTGTCTTTAAATCACAGGTTAAGGATCAAATTATTGCCTCATTGTAAATCATTAAGGACTTCTCACAAGCAGTATATAACATCCTGAAGGTTGTATCAGTAACTACATCCAGCAATTAAGTCTCTATCTCCGCAGCAGGGTTGACTTATGTTACCTATTATCAGATCAACACCTCTAACAATTACCTAGTTCATTTGAATGCCAAGTTATTCTGAGGTACAGCAGCAGGATGCGTGTGACTGAAACTCCACAACAACTGACATCCTGGAGCCAGCCTCCAGCACAGGAAAATGTTGTTTCTTAGAGGAGATAGGCAACACCCTAATTCAAGTTAAGAGAGCATTAAAGATATACTATTTGCACAAACAGGTAAATCCTCTGCCAAGGTATCAGTCATGCATTTCTCAGCCCTCTAGCTCCATATCCTGTGCATCTGTGCTTACCTATACATTCAGCCTCTACTAGTTGTTGCCAGCAGAAGGGGGAAGGGGTCGGTAAGGGGCTATGGAAGACCACAGCGTTTTGCAGACCAAGGTTTAAAAATTTAATTCCAATAAAGCTCTGGCTGGGCTGCCCAAACTGCAGTACCTTAACAAGACAGATATACAGAATGTTTTAACTGAAAGCAATGCTTCCTATCTATGAGCTAAAAAGCAGATTTGTTTTACATTCACCTCTCTAAGTATCAAAATCATTTTTTCCCACTTACTTCATATTGCAGGGCGCGTGCCACCAGCACAGCTGGACAAGGAAACCCAAGTTTTGACCCGTAGTTCTCTGCATCTCATGACAATGCAGAGTGGTCCTCTCACATACTGAAGCTTTAAAGAGGGGAAAAAAAAAAAAAAAAAAAAAAAAAAGCAACAAATAAATAAGAGCATAGAGCTCTAATATGCATAAGAGTATATTACTCTATTGTGTGAGAAAAAAAAAAACCTTGAAAATAGCACAAGCACTTAGTTTACAGAAGTTTAATACGACATCTTTCTTTACGTACCTCTGTACGTGATAACTGTTACTTTTCTCACTGCAGAAGGGAATGGAGATGACCATTACAACACGAAACAAAACTGCAGTGACACCACCAGATCTCAGTTAAAAGTTCTGCACCACTTGCACTGGTTAAGCAGCACTGACCCACTCTAAAGCAGCTTATGAATTGCTGCCGATGAGAACTCCAGCTGAATAAGCAAAATAGATTCTTTAATGCCACTTACAAATGGCAGCGAGGAGCGGAGAGACAATAATTAATGCGTATCAGGAGAAACAAAGAGCTCGCACAAGTCCCTGCCCTTGCCCAGACAACAGACTGAGGAACGCTCCGCAGCACAGCGGGCACACGGACGGCTCGCCGAGGCTGCGCTGCAGCAGTTGACTGATTAAGGTACAGCTGTGATCGATCAGAGCTGGATAAGCGCCCTGCCCTCAACTAAATGAGGCTGCGGGCAGAAATGGGGCCGGCCGTTGGCACCTGGGGCACAAGGAATCGAGAAGTCTCAGCAAAACCACCTCTAAACATAACAAATGTCTGTTCCACCCAGAAGCACAGAACCGGACGGACTGGAAAAGGGCTTCTATTGGCACTCTGTTCTGACAGATAACTGTTCAGGACGGCGCTGAAGATGCTCACATTGCTGAGCACAACAAAAAATAAACAGCCTCAGCCCAAAGCGGCTCATAAATCCAAGAGCCTGCGCTGCCAAAACACGGAGAGCGGTGCAAGCACCTCCACCTGCCACGGCTCGTCCTCGTGAAAAGCAGCCCCAAGCGCAGCCCTCCCATCCTTCCCGCTCCACAGCTCCGCCCCTCACAGCTCCCCACAGCCCCTAACGGCCGCCTCGCGCTGCACCTCCAGCGCCCGCCCGCTGCACGCGCCCGCTGCGTGCCGCCCCCCAGCCGCCCCGTGCCGCTCGAGGCTCCCGCCCGGCCCCGCCGTGCGCTGAGAGGAGGAGCTGCGCGCGGGCAGCGGCCGTCCTGCCGGCAGGAGGTGCAGAGCAGAGAGGGAGCACGGCGTGGCTGACAAAACACAGCCTCCCCTGCGACGCAAATTTAAAGCGAGTGGAAAGGCCATAGCCAAGATGCAAAACACTACGGTGACAATCTCACAGGCTGGGTTTTTTTTTGTTTTTTTTTTTCTTCTGGATTTCACCGCCTCTTTCGAACAGAACTTCGTCTGCCGAATGCCGCCGGGTGGCTGCGGAGCCCCAGCACAGCAGATGAGCGATGGAAAGCGCAGGAGCCGCAGCACAGCCTTCGCACGTGCTTCTCTCCAGCCCACGCGGGGCTGACGAGCAGCCTCCGCAGGTGTGCGCTGTTCTGCCCGGGAGGCGCCTGCCCCGCAAAACAGCGCTTCATCCATCCGATCTGAATCGGATCGGAGCCTTAAAAGCGACTTTATTCTACTGCCGTTGTGAAACACAGCTTTCGTTGTTTGCTGCTGAAACGCTTTGAGTCACCTTCTCCCAGCAGTGACTGATTTCCCCCCTCCCGTCTGGCAATTCACGGGCAGCCCGGTTACAGGAGAGGAAACGACGCACCAGTTTCAGAGGTGGACTTAAACGCTCAGTTAACGTTAAAGGATTCTGCTTTGGAGCGTAATTTGCTTAAGCAGATGAATTCTGACAATCCTCTTCCAGAGCAGACAATAATAAGTGGTTAAATTGTGTAAGCACCATCGGAGACAAAAGTTACAAAAAGAGACCAGAAAACACTGTCTAATCTGAGGAAAATCGTTAACTATTTACTCACCACTTAAAATCCCCAGTTCACGTTTTTGTCTGCAGTATTTCCAGCTAGAGCTGCTTCTAGTTAGCAATATTACAATTACCAGGACCAACCCAGACCCACCGCGCAGAGCTGCCCCCCCCCCCGCCCAGGAGCTCAGCCCCATGCAGCCAGAGCCGGGCCCCTCCTCGCCCAGCTGCTGCCAGCTCCAGGTGAGCCTCGGAACAGCACGAGGAGGGAGTGCAGGTGCAAAGAGCTCGTCCAGCAAAACCTGGAGCGCGCTAACTGAGCTGTTTTTAGCAGGCTCAGAAACGGGACCTGGCAAAAATCATAAAAAATTAAATGGAGGTAATGGAAACAGCACGTGTTCTTGAAGATAATCATGGGCTATGTCAGACTAGCTAACCTGCTGGCAGGCAGTTCCTGATCATACAGCGTACACCAGAAGATTTCCATTGGCTCCAAAGAATGCTCACATATAACTAAAAGCTGCTGTGATTTACATCCTTGGAGCCACTGGTGGAGCTCTGTTAGTACTGTGTAAACCCTCTCACAAAATAAGGTAAATCCATAGCATGTATTCATGAAACAGAAGATCCAAGTATTAATGTTTGCACATTAACACCACCAGGGACCTCATTAAAACAATTCTCTTACCCACATTTGCTCTATTTTATCACACCCCACATTTTCTTTTAGGAGCATATTTCAACGACCAAGAAAGATGCCACACAAATTCATAAGTTTGTCCCCTTTAACTTGCAATCTCACTTTCCTACTTTAAGTTCTATCGTGAACAGAGAAATAGCTGAGTTATCTGATGATTTCCTTTCAGGGAACGTTGTCTTCTCACAGTTGGACATATCTAAGACATGCAAATGATGAAGAAAAAAGAGATACTGCAACTCCTCTGATGCAAAAAGTGCCATATTTCACAGCTACAAACATTACAATCTTCAATAAAAGGAAGCCAACAATTCCCTTCAAGTCATAAAAGCACTAAGCTTCGTTGTGAATGACTGAATATAGAGCATGTTGTGACACATGCAGGATGTGTTATGTTTTATAAGAAGAAAGTTCAGATTATTCTTGCCAACATGATTTTGATAAGGAAGCGAGTCTTTGCCAAAAAGAATACATTTGTTTTCCAAATCCTTATACAGTCCTTATCACTCGTGTATTTCAGCTTCCAGCTGTAAATAATGGCATGCAGCATGATTCAACCTATCACTCTCTTCAGTATGTAAGGAGCACACAAACCAAGGATGGGAATAAAGGGGACGCAGCTTTATTCATCACAGCAAACAGAAGCATAATCCAGAATGAAAATATATCTGGTGAGAAGTAATTAGCTCTTTGTCCCAGCCCAATCCACAGCTGGAGCCACAGTAAATCTTCCCATCTGTGTGTGCACAAACACTCAACCCATCTGATCTCAATGCCCGCACCTCGAGCACACAACCTGACCAGCCTTACCTGCTGCCCAGCCCGGTGGTTGGCTGCCATCCTGAAGGCAGCAGGAATTCAGCTGGGAGAAGCCCCAGTGCACCTCACCTGGGAAGAAACTAAAAAAAACTTGCATGGGAAATGCTTTAAGTGGAACAATCTTACAGCAATGCACAGCACACTTCTGTAGCTCAAGCAAATGAAACAAATATCTTCAAAATTTCCACAATTAAATTATTAAAAATTCTACACCAAATAAACTAAGTTTATCACTCAATATCGAGCTGTACCATATTTTACAAAGAAAACAAAATGTTCATATATTTCCCAGGCTTTTTCCCTAAAAACATATCTTTTTTCCATACATTCTTTATCACACATTTACTTACCAGAGCTAATAGTAGAGCTTTTTTTTTTCCATTTACAAGTTAATAATATCCTAATTTCCTTTTTCAAAAGTGCATTTTGTTTTTCCTGCTATATTTTAACTATATTTTTTCTGCCATGTTATAACTATATTCCAAAGGAAAAGAAGTGTATCTATGCTGGAGCACAACATATCTTCATTTCTAACACTGGGTATACTCATCATTAGTCAAAAAATAAAGAACAGGTGCAAATGCATAAATTAACCTATGAAAATTATAGGCATGATCCTATATATTATGTTTAATTGACACATACCTTAGCATTTATGCATAACTAACATTCAGCAAAACATTCTGTATGAACCACCAGAGGCTTCGTGCCCAGAACAGCATGCCAGAACCTCCCACCTGAATGAAGACAGAGTTTTATCAGAGCTCTAACATGACAAAGTGCAGCCTTCCAACCTATTTAATGCGTAGCCTGCAGAGAGGTTTAAAGAAATTAAATTAACAGGTTTGAGTTCATGGCTGTAAACTCAGTGTACGTGTGTGTAAATAAATGCATGTATGTATACACACAGAGCACCTCCTGTCCATCAGCTTCACTTCTCCATGCCAGGCTTAGTGCTGCTTTGTTGTTAGCAGAACCTTTGTGTAAGATGAACAGCACATAGAGACCTGCACCTCCTGCACGTCACTGACAGAGGTCCGTATCGTTGATTGTTCTGCTCATGGCTGCAAACATAAAAGGAACAGGTTATTTTGCACCTCTGTAAGAGACCTGTGGAATGCATATGTTGCTTCTATTCCCCCCAGATGACAACTTGATTGCAGTCTTACCTACTGCAGGCCTTGATCTGCAGGTAGCCACCAGAGTTAGATGATGATCACCTGGGAGCTCTCCCAGCCAGAAGTCAGACTGCCTTGTGGAAATTCCCCTTCCCTCGGAGACAGTACACAGATGAACAGTGGTGATTAGCTTCAATTATGCAATTCATGTTGCTCAGAAATATCTGAAGAATCTTTTGACATCTTATTAATTTTTTTTTTTTAAATAAAAAGAGAAAGATCTGTTTTTTACTATGGTTCAAAACCATGTTTCTATGGGAGTTGCAGAAAACCCCTAATAGAGTTCATCTCCATCTGTAATCTTGACCTCTGAGCAATTACTTCAAAGCTGTAATTCTTGCAGGTAGGACACAGGCTGTTCTGTTTAAAGACAGATGATTAATAAACAGACTGTTACCACACTGGCTTAGCAAGAAGCACACTGAAGAAATCCTTGTCATACTCCTATTTCCTAGTTGCAGCTCTTCCAAAAACAAACTGCTCAACAGCAAACACATCACACACGTGTCTCAGTAATGCAGCTCTCACCTTTTGATGCTCAGGCTATTTTAGTTTGAAGATCATACTTGCTTTTGCATCTTTTCAACTTCTGCCATAGCTCTGTATTAAAACTACCCAATGAATGTCATAGAGAGTTTTTTAAAATATTTATTTTGAAAAAATCACTCTGTACAAATTTAACATTCTCAGCACTGAGGTTTTATAAAAATGCTAACACAACAGAAAGACTTGAGTGAAACATTAAATTCCTCTCTTCTTAAATTACAAAGAAACAGATTCATTCTAAAGAAGCTATTGTAATTCTAAACATTAAAAAAGAGATAACTTCATAAGATTTATCTTCTTTATCTATTGCAGTCAAATACATGTATCAATAGATGACTTTTCCCATTCTTTTTATAAGCTTTCCCCCCCAACACTGTCCACAACTAAACCAAATGCCCTAAATGTCTTACACTTCTACTGTACATAGCTTGTGCTCCAAGGAAACCTTGCACAATTTCACCATCCTTTTCTCAGTGCCTAACAAAAAGATGCCTCTATACATTTGGTACAAAATTCTCTGTACAAGCCAAATTTGCTCATGTGAATTTCTGAAGCAAACTAAAGGAAGAGTATTTATTCGAGCCTTCCATTTGGTATCATGAAGGAACAGTGATTAAGTAAAATTTCACAAAGTAAAACCCAGTGACTGGGAATTCTGGCTGTTTTAATTATTATTATTGTATAAAAACTTTATATGCTATTGGTTATTAGGAACGGCAAATCCTAAATCTAACAGTGCTAGTTTTACAGTCCTCATCATAAAATAAGATTTTTCTGTATATTTTTAAGTTTCCTTCCCTAATTTTAAGCTACTTGCAAAAGTCATTGTTGCAGATTCAACACCCTTCTTCTTTTTCCTTTTTTTTTTTTTTTTTTTTAAACAGGAGG